AGTTCCGTATAAAAAACGCCGCAAGTCCTACGACATATTGTTGCTGTTCGGTGTGAAATTTCAGAAGCAAAGGTGAGAGAAATGTGAGCGGAGTGTACTAAAACATAAACATTCTAAACTTGAAATTTGATGAAATCGAGCTTCAATTTTACTCATTTGTTTCGGAGTTTCTTCAATATAGCTCTTGCTGGGATTGCGCCCATCCACCTCAATTCCGAACTTCCTCTTTATTTCCTACAGATTCTATCATTGAAGCGTAAAAGTGCAGCCGAACGCGGACGCAATGTTGGCGTGAAGTTCTGAGGATGGGCAAACGGCGAATCAATCGATACGAACTGCGGTGTCAACATGCAGGGCGAGGCCCCTACCGAGGACCGTTTCCTGATCATTTTCTAATTCGACGTTTTACCTTTCCCCAAAACTTTGATATTCATGATAAAGCGCTTAGTCTCATTGCACTAGTGTGTTTTTCATTGTCTGCCTGCTGCAATGTCAGAAAAATACTTCATTCTTCATCAAGTGCAGAGCGGCTGGATGGCCCTTGGCAGACGATTTTCATTTCTTTCTACCAAGAAAGCATCAATTTTTTTGAATTTTTGTCTGCGCCCCCGTTGATGCTGATCAAGACACCGCTTTAGTGTGATAGTCAAGCTCAACTGTCAACACTAGTACATAGAATTCTGGGGTCCAAGTGAAAATGTGTGATATGTCCTTGTAGTTACATGTAGACTAATGTTACGTATACTTCTTGCAATATGACACTTCTTCGAAAATTCCAGGTTATGGCAAAATAATGAATCACGGTGTCGTTATGTAACTACTTATCATTTGAGTAGGAGCTTAGTGCCCTTACCTTACGCTTTCGATCTACTAGTTATTCCAGAACTGAAAGTTTTTTAAATTACTGAATTATCCCAATCATTCTGCCTTAACCTGGAGAACTTTTCGAAGATTAATTTTTATCTTCATTTTCTTTCTCAAAACACATAAATATGGATAGCACAATAATCTGTATATTTTTTTCACTAACTTCGTCCTTATCATTGATACAATGTAAGTCGCCAAATTTTGCTAGATTCTCAGGTTAGTTGTTATCAAATTTTTACCCTGCTATAAGAAATATGCGAATATGTCTTTTGCTGTGTCTTGGTACCAATTTCAATGCCTTATGGTTAAAATTGTGCCGATGACCGATTTACAAAT